AAGACAAAGAATTGAAAARTGTAAGTAAGTTAGATAATCCATCCAATAAGGCCAACAACTAATATCTAGAGTTATAGAAGAGGAAATTTTAATGTTTATGGTATCAAAATTTAACTTTAGAATTGTAATACAAGATACTGTCTTCAAATTAAGGAAAATAAGCCTCTAGATTGACAAGGACTCATTGAAAACAACACATAAAGAATGAAAAAGAGCCTATTCCAGGGTCTAACATAGTAAAATTTTTTAAATCATGGGGAAAAAAAGATAACTATGAAAGTTTCTAGGAACAAAAAAAAAAAAGTATTAGGGATCAGAAAATATAGTGCTTTTCAATTATAATATTAGAATCTTGAAGACAATGGAGTAGTTTCTTAAAAATCCTGAGTGAACATTAATTCAAATAGAACTTTATACTCAAGCCAGATTATTGAGTTTATCATATAATAACAGCATTTTGAAGCATACAAATATACCCCAAAATGTATTTTTTGCACCCTTTCTTATGAAAGCTATCTTGAGAATGTAGCTCAATCTTTCTCTACCATACATACAAACACACATAACACTTGACAAAGCCAGAGATCAAAAAAGTAGACATAAAGCACCAAGGATACATGAGGGATGATTATAAAGGAACTTACAGTTTATCCTTATTTGATCATTTGAAAAAATATTATTGATACATATTTGGCAATACTGTTTGAATACTTTGGGGGCAAATATCAGTTACCTAGAAAAATAAACTATCAAAAACTTAGACAGTCAGGTATGATGACACATGCTTATAGTCCCAGCTACCTGGTAGACTGAGGGAAGRGAACAGTTGAGGCCAGGATTTTAAGGGCAGCCTAGGCAGCATAGCAAGACCCCTGCTCAAGATAAAACAAAAGACTAGGTAATTAATTTCAGAAATAATATAGGAAAATTAAAGTAATGCTCATCTTAGTAGTGAGCAAATTTTCCATAATCATAATGTAAATGAACTACTGACTAATGATTAACCAAAAATTTTATATGGGAGCATAAGTTGGATATGTAGGGTAGCTGGTATAAGAGACCTTAATTGTTCCTTTTTTAAAATTTTTTTTAATTTATTTTTTTGAGACAGGGTTTCATTATGTTGTTGACCAGGCTGGCCTCAAATTCCTAGACTTAAGGGGTCTTCCTGCCTCAGCCTTGTAGCTGGGACTACAAGCACATACTAAAATTAATTGTGTCACATTTAATATAGGAAATTGATGTATAATGTCTAATATTGCAAAATCAAAAAATAGCAATAGAAGCATGTCATTTAAAAATATAAAGAAAAATAACAGAACAGTTAATAATGTGCCATTGGAGATTAGGTTTGGAGATAGGCCAAAAGACATTGCTCTTCTTTGCTATGAAAAATTGAGTACTATTTAGCTCATGTTAGGTGCATTACTTTAGTAAGAAAAGTTAATCAATAATAAAAATAAAGTCACATATGTCCATTATTAAGAAAAAACTTTCCACAGTGTGGAAAAATATTAACAGTAATCAATCTCCATTTCTTCACGTCCCATTCCTGGTACTCTTCTCCTAACCAATTTTAACAGTTCCTACTTTAAGCTGTTCTGGTGGCTATAGTAATTTTTTTTTTGAGGTACTAGGGCTTGAACCCATATCCTGTACATGCTAGGTAAGGGCTTTACCAATAAGCTATGTCTTCAGCCAATCTATTCATGATTTGAAGAATAACTTTTGGTAAGATACAGAGCTATCTGGACCTCCCTTGCCCAGTTGGCAAAAGGATAATGACGTAAAACTGCATTGTAGACATGCAGGTTAATAGTGTACTTTGAGAGTAACATACAGTTGGCCTATGACCGTTGTTGGTCTTTCATTCCTGAGCCACCATACCTAGCCAAGGAAACAGCCCTGACCTAGTTGGGTGAGGCAAGGGGTTATCCTGCCAGTGGGAGCATRGCATTTCTGGCAAGAGATTTCTCTTCTAACTGTTGGAGTTGGTGCCATGGCAGATTTTCCTGACACAGGGAGTAAGTGTTGAGCCCTGGTCCAGCTGGTTAGATTATTTGTTGGTTTTTGATTATCTGCACCAATAAGCTGTTTTGCTGGCATGGATAATCAGAAGCAGGTAGTAATTTTCCATCTTCCTAACAAAAAGGCCTTTTTGCATTTTAAAATTATAATAGATAAAGTTTTCTTCATTTTTTTTAACAAAATAATGCTCTGTAGAGGAAACAAAGGAGAAATTTTATTGAATTAAATCAATGACTTATTAAGGATAGTCAGATACTGTAAGGCAGATCATTTTTTCTACTTATCCTTTTGCAGGTCTTGAAAGATATTTTAAATAGGGAGAGAAATCAGTGGTAATAATGATACTAGCTGTCTCATATCTCTTATGTGTTCAGCACTCTGCTCAGTACTCGTCATCCTATTCAGTCTTCACAGCATCTTTGGAGCTTGCTGCAGTTATCACTTTCATTTTCTGCTGAAGAATGTATGATATTTGAGCGACTTGTCTGAGGTCACAGAGCTAAAAAGTGTCAGAACTATGTCTGAGACCTGATTGTGTTGGCTCTTGGACCTATGCTCTTTATCTCTGACTGGATTTCAGTGTAGCCTCTGACTTTTTATTACATGAGAATAAGAAAGCAGCTGATTTATACTTAAAACCTAGTTACCACTCTAAGATATATATGTTACTTTTATTGCACAGTGGTTTAAAAACTTATTGTATTTATTCTTTTTAAGAAAGCTTGGATTTTATGTTTTCTATTTCTATCATTCTTTTTGTATCCTCTCCATTCAAAATTCTGAAGTCATCTTTGGTCTCTTTCTACATTCTGCCTTTCCATTTTTTCCCCCCATAAAATCACTATGTTCTCTTCAAATTTGTGTTTAAAGTCTACTTTTCCTGTCTGGAATATTAGAACTATCTCTTCATGGCCTCCCTTCTACCATTACTTGCCACCTTAAACTGATCATAGATATTGATCCAATTTGTAAGTGCAGCTTTTTTCATATTGCATACCTTTTCTTTTTTTGTGTACTGGGGATTGAAGCCAGGGTCACCTTACCACTGAGCTATACTATACCCCTACGTCCTTTTTATTTTTTTATTTTGATACAATGGCTTCCTAAGTTGCTGAGACTGTCCTTGTACTTGTGATCTTCCTGCCTCAGCCTCCCTAGTCACCGGGATTATGGGTGTGTGCCACTATACCCAGCAGTATTTCCTATTATTTATAAGAAAACTATAGCTCTACTAATCTCTTCTTCAACACCTTTCATAATACGATGTAAGCTTTCATTCCATGAGTTTTTATTCCCTTACTTTTTCACTTTTCTTGTCCATGCAAATTTATCCCTCATTTGGCATGAATTTTCTTTATAATTCATTTGTCATTGTCTCTATGACTTGTATTTTGATAGTCTTTTTGTGTATACATGTCTCATTTATCCTTGTTAAATCATGTGTATAGAGATTGATACTGAGTTCATCATAGTATTTAGCACAGTTTCTTGTAAATAGAACTGTGTAAAAAATTTAATGATGGACTCCTSAAGTTTTAAAGTCAACATGTGATTCAGATTTTATACTTCTTTGCTTTTGTTAATTCCATTTAGGCAAGTAAAACTTAATAGACTTTTCCATTAAGTTTTCATATCTTTAATTATATTTAATTATGAGATTAGAAATGTATTAGTATTAACTTAAATAATTTAAAATATTTTAAAGAAATAAATCAATTTTATTTAGTATTCTGGTCTGAAAGATATAGGAAATCTACCCTGGATGAAAGTGACACATTCATTATTACATAGGTTTTAAAAAAAAAATTGAGAACTTGTAATAAGTAATTGTTGGTAATGTGTAGTTTTGATGGGGATAAACTGAATACAGTATTACAAATGTAAGAAAAAATATAATGAATTGTTTAGTTTATCTTATATTATAGTGGGAGATCATTCAGAATAATGAGTAATGACATAAATTTTAAAAAAATATATTTAAACAGTAAGTTTAAAATACTCTGCTTAAGCATAATTTTGTTTTCCAAAAGGACATTTTTTGTATGCATCAGAATTACTCCTTGCTCTCTGTTGAACTTGAAAATGTTTCTGCTCTTTTTTTTAACTTTGCTTTGTTGTAATATAGACTAAATATTTTTAAATGTTCAACTCTATTTTCTTTTCCTTAATTTTATAGCTGCTCTGTGATAAATATTTCTACTTAAATTTGTAAATTACTTTAAACTGTGTTCTATTTAAGATATTTCTGCTTGGAAATATTTGAGTTTTAAGGATAATTTATTCATGAAACCAAACAATAAGCTATATAAATTGTCATATATTTATATGTTCATTTATTAGTCTTAAGAATGTTTTGTTGTGTTTTTAAATGCAAATTTTATTGTAATATTATTTTAGCTCTGAAATCTCATATTCTTGTAAGCCAAAGGTTCTCATGCTGAATTATTTTTTCCAAATAATATTCAGTATCATAATGATGCCTTCTTCTATACCTCATGTTTTCCTAAAAGATACCTAAAATATTTTTATATTTGTTTTTATAACATCTAAATGAAACCATCAATCTATCTTTCATAGTAAAAAGTCACTTATCCGATATAAATTATGACATGTATCTGATCAAATCTCTTAGACAAAAAATGTTACATTTTAAAGATTGTGAATTTTTAAGTTCCAATGACTTTTTAAAGGGAACAAGCTTTAGAATGAAAATGCTGATTATTCATCTTGACTACTCTTATTTAATCATTTCATTTTAAGAATCAATCTTAATGTTACAATCCAAAAAAACCTCACTAATGTGCCTTTTTGGATGTGCAAATTTCCTTTGTCATAAAACAGAAGCTAGCCTAAATTTTCTAATAATTTTCATCACATAAAAATTCATGGTAAAAATAAAAATGATCTAATTTTGAAGTCAAGTGCATATATTTGATATAGATGCTTCCCCCCACCCWTTATCTCTACCTAAGGAAATAGAGAAATTGAGACTAGAACTGAGTGAAAGCAAGCAGCACATGGAACAGGAGCAGCAGAAGGCAGCCCGGGCCAGAGAGGAGTGCCTGAAACTAACAGAACTGCTGGGCGAATCCGAGCACCAACTGCACCTCACCAGGTACTCCCTAATCCCATTACGCACCCCAGCACTGATTTCATTCCACTGATTTTTGCCACAGGCTTCCAAACAGTTGTTAGAGTTAGTCTTAGTCATTCAATTCACACACAGCTTTCAAGCATATTAAGAAAAGTGGAGATGTGGTAAGTAAAACACCCAGACATGTGAATGATAAGTGTGGCAGGGATTTACTGATAGATTACAAAACCTTTCATTTACCATGCTCAAATATTTAAGTGATTCTCTATCAATACAAGCAAAATGACATTTTTTTCTACCACCACCACTCCTCTCCGGTTAATCCTGTGTCTAATAAAAATGTTGAAATGAAGTATCTGAGGAATATGTTTAGGAAAATAATGAGATACTGTCAGTAGTGAAAGGCACCGAGCATAAGAAATCCTAACATGCAAATTGAAATGGAGCTGATACAAAATAAGGATCTGCATCTTAAAGAGGTGTAAATTTAGAGATGCTATCGATTGGCACTATTCATGGTCAAATCATTATTTCGATCATATTTACACCATTGAAGTTTCAAATTGCATTGTTTTCACCATGAAATTTGCAATGTGATCATCATTGTTGTAAACTTTAGTAAACATATAGCTCAGCCCTAGATTAAAATAAAACTCTCTAGGTTGCAAGCATTGGGAATTTGCTGTATTGGAAGCACACAAACACATGCACATACATAAATACACAAAGGGAAAAATTCAAATATAGTCGATATATCACTTTACCATGTAAGTGGTTTCTTCTCACTTTGAGTTTTAGTACAGTTTTTCAGTTTTCAGATCAAGCCTTTGGGTTTATTCATTCTTAGAGTTTTTCAGTTTGCAGAGAGAATTTTGTCTAAATACACATGTAAGTTTATGATATTTGATTTAGTTTATAAAATAGAAAAACACTGGTCTTCCAATTATAGTACTGTGTTGAATTTAAACTATGAAAGGGGACTGATCCCTTTTACATTAAATATGACAATGTAATTCTGAGCACGGTATGATAACAGATGGAGAAAAGCACCACTTGAACAGCCTGCATGTGGAGAAAAAATATTCTAGAGGTTGGTGAACCTCCCAAAGTTTTGGGTTAGTGTTAAGATGCCTCCAGTTCTGTTAAAATCAAACTTTGTTAAAAACATTTTGTTATGATAATAATCCAAATGTTTGACACTTCCCTATTTAAACAGTGAAAAGAAAAAGAGATGAAAGAAAGAGATAAAAAATCATTTATACATGTAAAAAAAATTCAATAGATATAACACTTTTCAGAGTAAACATTGCTTAATACTACAGAATAGTTTCTCTTAATGCCTATTATCACTGTGAAACTGAGAACATAATATTAACATAGTACCTATAGCTATTTAATCTTAGTAGTTTCAGAATTTACTTCATCATGATAATGTAGATGTCTATTCTTTTCTGTCAGACTTCAACTGAGAACCAACCATTTTTGTGCTAAGCACTACTGACCCACAGAAATAGGACAGCTTTTTAATGTCTCAGTGTAGCTCAGCTTCAGTAAATAAATATTAATGCTAGTTTTTCCCCTTTTGCCATTCTCTCTTATTCAGAGAGTTAATTTCTGAAGTCAAAGTCTGTAGAGAGTTTTTCTGAGCAGTATCAATTTGTGCTGTTTGACAAGATCAATTTCTTCCAAGTAGAGCATATTAAGATGCAGCAACTGCTGAAAATGGACGAGTGGTAACTAATTCCTTTGTTCTTAAGAAAAACTGTTTTGCTTTGGTTGTGTAGAAAGCTTTTTTTTTTTCTGTTGTGCTGTATTTACACTATTTCTACAAAAATTTAAACCTAGTTTTATAGGAAATAAGACACAATTACTGATTTTCTAAGTGTAATACTCTTTTTTGTAAGCATTTCATATTTAATGTTCATGGTTTGTAAAATCCATATTTATAAATTTAAAGATGAYAGTTAAAATGTAAGGTATTGTACATACCTCTCCTTAGAACTGAAAATATAACTTTGTGGTTGGGTTAAATATTTTTGAAATGCTTTTTTTGTTTTCTTAAAGAGTTTGCTAGACCTCAACATTCTTTATTGATTCAGCATACCCAGGTGTGTAAATGAGAACCATTGCATCTTTTTTCTTCAGTGTGGACCAGCTGAAATATATAACTCCCACACAAATAGTCAGTTTCAAACATTTTAAATGGCATATTCTAAACAAAGTTTAAAATTGAATATGAAAACTACATTAGAAAGTAATGGTGAAATAAAAATCCAAATTTTTAGGGGCAAAAAAAAATTTAAATTGAAGTAGAAATCTCTACATCACTCTGAAAGAAAAACAGTCTTCTACTCTTTCAGTGTTTCTCCTTATGTAAGCTTAAATTGGATTTTAAAGGGGAAAATGGAAATTTAGCATTTATTGCAGGACCCAATAGGTGAGTATAATTTTCACTTAATTTATAATATTTATTAAGCATCTATGATCTTATAAGTACTCTGACTCTGGCCTAAAGAGAATAAGAAGACTCAGTTTCTACCCTTACATTGCTCACATTCAACAAAAGGAGGCAGTTCATAATGCATTTATAACAGAATGTGACAATAGTGAAATTCTAGAAGTAAAGATTATCACGTGAACATGTAGAAAAGAGAATTGACTTTTTCTGCATTGGAAGTAGGTGATAATCAGGGAAATCTGATAATGAAAGGTGACAGGAAGGGGAAGATATTTGGTAACAATCTTGATAAATAAGTTCATGGGTAGAAATTCTCAAGGTGAAAAATGGTGAGGTGAATATCACAGATAGAGGAATCTATATACGCAAAGACATGAAGATGGGAGAGAACATAAATTCTATAATCAGGGTAGGTGTTTGATAAGAGATAAGACTGAAAAGGAAATCAGTGACAAGAGGACTTGTAGGCTATGCTCTGAAGATTTGGCTATTCTAAGAGTAATTGATTGATTGTTCTTGATGCATTTTAAGCAGGTTGTTAATATGATCGACTTTTTGTGTTGTGATCCTGACTCAGACAACAATGTGGAGAGTGACTTTGGAGATTTGATAAAAGGAAACAAGATCAGTTAGGCTATGGTCAGCAGCTATACCCTTTGGGCCAAATCTGGACCATTATCTGTTTTTGTATGACCCGTGCACTAAGAATTGTTTTTATATTTTTTAATAGTTGAGGGAAAAATGAAAATAATGTGTTGTTCTGGGTGCAGTAGCATGTACCTGTAGTCCCAGCAGCTTCTTGGGAAGTTGAGGCAAGAGAATCACTCGAGCCTAGGAGTTTGAGGCCAGCCTGGACAACTTAGTGAGACTCCATCTTAAACAAACAACAAAAACAACAACATTTAAAAAAAAAAAAAAACAGCATTTTCTAACACATGAAAAATAATACATCCATATATAAAGTTATATTGGGACACAGGATTATTCATGATGTTTGATGTATGACACTACCATAGCAGAGTTGAGCCTGGTCCCCAAAGCCTAATAATTTACTGTCTGGTAATTTATAGAGAAAGTTAACCAGCCCCTCAGTTAGGAAGCTGTTTAGTTCAAGTAAGAAATCAAGAGAGCCGGACAGGTCCAAATATGTATTTTTAGAAGGTAACTGAAAGGCACTGTGAAACTACACTGGTTGAGGAAAAGATGTTTAACAGGTACTCAATTAGAATATAACCGCAATGGTCCAGGTAAAAGGAAAGGAAGCCATACTCAGGAGACATCTAGAGTAGAAGGTAGGAGAGGACAGAACTAAAGGTAACTATTGTTTCTGGCCTAGGTTGACTAGATGATTTTTTAATCCAACTAGGGAATTTGAAAGAGGTAGCAGAGGAAAATAATAAATTTTATTTGGAAACTTGGGTGGAAATATCCAATGTAGGTGTTTACACAAAACCTATAAGACTAGAGCCTTAGTTTATATACTTCTACTTAGAAGTATTAGTTGTAGCCAAGGAAGCAGGTTGAAAGCATATATAAAGAGAACCCTTTTGTTGTTGTTGTTGTTGTTTGCTTTTCTTTCTTTTTTTTTGTAATGTGATAATGGGGATGGAACTCAAGGCTTCAAATGTGCTAGACAAACACTGTACTATTGAACTACATCTCCTGCTGGAGAACCATGTTTTTAAAGTTATTGAAAAAGAGCCTGCAGATGAGGAGACTGAAATGGGGCCTTTCAGATATATAAGAAAAGAATAAAGAAGAATGATTCAAAGGATGCTTTGGTGAAATAACCAAATACTGTTAAAATCATATGCTAATTTTAGGGATGGTCCCCAGGCAGCCTAAGATTTAGGAAACCTTCATTACAGTGTCCTACCTAGGCATTCATTATCTTTGYATCTTTTTGATAGATTACTTTTCTCTTTAGACCTGCTACTTACCTATAGATGATTTCTAAATTTCTTTTTAACCCTAATAGTCAATGATTCTAACAATTATTTAAAACAACCTATTCTTAAGTTCCTATTTCTGAATATGAGGTATTTAGATTTCTTGGGGTATCTTTTGTACAACATATTTCCTTAGTTTGAACTTCAGCAAGATTTCAAGAAATGTCACTCATATCTACCACTCATGTGTGTCACTTAGCCTCTGCTGATTTCTCATAAGAGCTCTGGAAGTAGGCTCCTTATACCCTTTCAGCCTCTTTCACTAACCACTGCCCAGTGAATATTCCTATGCTACTGCCTTGACTATAGGCCCTATTCTCCAAACCTTTCATGGTGTCACACTATACCAGAAGGTCCAAATCACTGAGCATGGCATTTTAGGTCAACCCATAGACACCAACCTTCCTGTCTATTTCCTTCTTGCCAATCTTCTCATGTGCTGAATTTTGCCAAATGTAAGCATATGCAGCTCCTCTTGTACTTGTGGACTTTTCTTTTGCTGTTCTCTATACCTGGAATCCCCTGTTGTCCTTCTCTGGACCTATTCTTACTTTTGTTTTTCCAAGAGCTTTCTGAAATTCTAATCTTTCTACCAAAGCCCTCCCTTATAACTC